ATCACATACCCTTCACCATTCCTAGAGATTTATTCCTCTTTTTAGTCAACTTTAGCATCGGTGTGTGTGTATATATATATATATATATATATATATATATTTTTTTTTCTGAAGTGTAATATTATTTCACAGTATTACTGTTTTTACTGTATATTCAATCAAATAAATGCAGCCTTGTTGAGTATAAGAGACTTTTTTTCAAAAACCTTCTTATACTGGATAATCAAACCTTCCTGTTTTACTCCCACAGATAGTGGGTATCCCGCATACCTTGGAGCCCGTCTGGCATCGTTCTATGAGAGAGCAGGTCGAGTGAAGTGCCTGGGTAACCCAGAGAGAGAGGGCAGCGTCAGCATTGTGGGAGCGTAAGTTTCTACAGACTTTGATGCTTATAAAAATGTAACATGTATTTTTAGCTATTGTGTGGGGGGTTATAACTGCAGGTATTTCTGTTCTTTCCACACATTTTGTGATTCTTTTGAAATGAATGTTTCTCTTCAGCGTGTCTCCCCCTGGTGGTGACTTCTCCGATCCTGTGACTTCTGCCACTCTTGGTATTGTGCAGGTGGGTGGATTTATTCATTTAACTCTTTTAAATAAAGCAGTGTAGTAGAATCTTTCATTATTTCTCTTCTCATTTGAACTGTTGCGCTTAGGTGTTCTGGGGTCTAGATAAGAAGCTCGCCCAGAGGAAACACTTCCCCTCTGTTAACTGGCTTATCAGTTACAGTAAATATACACGAGCGCTGGATGAGTACTATGACAAACACTTCCAAGAGTTTGTGCCGCTGCGTACCAAAGCCAAAGAGATTCTGCAGGAGGAGGAGGATCTGGCTGAGATTGTGCAACTTGTTGGAAAGGTGTGTTTGTGTCTTAGACATTGTTTGTCAAATAGTGTTATTTTATATATATATATATATACAAATATGCCTTGTATAGCTCAAAGTATTTTTTTTTAAATTATAATTATAAAATGTATTGAAATATCTTAATTAATCTAATTAATATTAGATTATAATTAATTATAAATATTAAAATTAAAACAATAATACTAAATGTTAAATAAAAGTAAAAAAATCTCTCTCTCTCTCTCTTTGTGAACAATCATCTACAACCTCAAATAAGAGGAGTCAGACTCTATATAAAATTGCTGATTAGAGAACATGGAAGTTGAAAGAAACTATTCAGAGGTTGAAAATTGCTAAAACATAATATAATAAATGCATACTTAATACATAAATGCTTGCAGTCTCCGGAAGAGAGTGAGTCAGGGAAAGATATAAATAATAATAATAAGATATAAATAAACAAATGAAGTAGTGGAAAAGGTGTATGATGTAGTATCTTATTTGATATCACTCTTGTCAAAGCCTTGATTTCTGAGAGACGCACAGAGATGGAAACTCAATCGCGCTCTGCTCATTTAATTCATAAAGTTTACATTCATTCACTTCACAGTTCACACACTCATTACTGCGTAGTGATTTTAGAGGTTTATGTATAATATTCACTGGCTCCCCTGTTATCCTGCAAACACTAGGAGTGACTGTGTCTGTCGAATATTTTTTTTCCTATTATCCAGTAGAATTTGTTATTCGTTTTGAAGCCATTCTCCGTGCCTTTCCGAATAAGGTATTCGGCTTCTGTTCTGGCACATCCTAAGTGTTGTTTGCATTGTGCATTTTTTTTGTATAGTGATATTTGAATTTTTTTATTTTTTATGTTCTACAATATTTTTGTATTGATTCTGAATGCATGTCTGGGTTTATTTTGTTTCCTTACCCATAGGCATCTCTGGCTGAGACAGATAAAATCACTCTGGAGGTGGCCAAACTCATTAAAGATGACTTCCTGCAGCAGAACGGTTACACTCCGTATGACAGGTAAAGTCATCATCTGTACCTATAACGATTGTGATATTCCCCACAGCCCCTGTGTTTTGATTTCTTGTTGTTCTAGTAGCATGTTTGTCAGTCTGTACTAATTATTTTCTACATTATCTCCCTGTCTCTTTCTCGCCTAGGTTCTGTCCCTTCTATAAGACAGTGGGGATCCTGTCCAATATGATAGCTTTTTATGACCTGTCCCGGCATGCTGTTGAAACCACAGCACAGAGCGATAATAAGATCACCTGGGCGCAGATCCGTGAACACATGGGAGAAATTCTTTATCGGATCAGTTCCATGAAGTTCAAGGTAGTGTTACTCAAGTATTGATGTTGGGATTAGTGTAGAAGTAAAGATCCTAGACCACAGGATGTAGTCAATGACCAATTTCGATTTGCTTAGTTTAATTCAGTGTTTCTGAGTTGATGTTAATTGAGACTAAAACCACTAAATCATATTCAGTTATTGAAAAATTGCGTTGACTCCAGAGTGTTTTTTATGTTTTTGACATTTAAATACAAATAAGTTCTGGCAAAAAAAAAAAAAGATTTATAGTTCAAATATAACAATAAAAAAATACTTTCAAAAATAAAGGATGCGACTCGTGCAGACACTTTTTCTTATTTTTACATTTAAATATGTTTGTTTCTATAAGCTACAAAATATGTGGAAGACTATTCTTAATATTCTGGAATAGCGACAGTAAATGCGTTAATAATGCATGTTCTCGCTTCGATAATTCAAAAGTATAATCGGATATGATAACATTGCAGTAATTATCACAGCGAAAGCGAAAATATATATATAAAGAAACTTATATTAAAAATATGAATAAATACTATAATAGTATACATTACAAATACAAACCATCATTATTTTAGTATTAAAATATTGAAAATGTGTTTAATATTATTTATTATAATAATTTATACGTATTCACTATAATATTTATTATACATTTTAATAAAACATATATAAACTTGTTTTTTATTCGATTATTTACAGTCATTTCATTCAGTTAACATTGACCAATTTTACATAATGCGTGTGTGTGTGTTTTGCAGGATCCAGTCAAAGAGGGTGAAGCAAAGATCAAAGCTGACTACGCTCAACTGCTGGAAGACATGCAGAATTCTTTCCGCACTCTTGAGGACTAAAAGCAACCTTTGACCTCACTTGTCTCCCACCTCTCTCCTCCCCTGTGCTGTGCAGTGCATTTCCCAGTGCTCCCTTGTGCATGTGTACCTCTCGTCTTAATATACACTAAAGCTGTTCAGCTGATCTCAACGAATGAAAGTCAGAGCCAGTAGCCATCGCTAATATGAATATGGTCTTTATAAAGCGTAAACGGAGTGTGTTCTCACTCTATAGCTACAGCTGTTACTTGGTGTTTGAACTGCAAGATTGTATTTTAGCATCTTAAGCAAATGCCTCTGTGATCTCTCTGTGCTGAGAACACTTGAAGCACAAAAACAAAATTCATCTTTTTTTCACACCACCTTTCCCATGAGTCCTTGTTTGCATGTGTTTGGAGCACGGGGAGCACAGTGTTTATTCCCATCTCCTTTTTTTCCTGTGACCAATAGAAATGTGTTATACAATAATGGGAACAATTTAAGTCAGAAAGGGATCATTGAAGCTTCCCTTATTTATTTGAATCTTGTTTTGTCTCATGAATGTGATTTCTGCTTTATGTGTGTTCCTTTGACTGTTTATCATATTCATGTGAGTGAGCTTGTGTGAGTTGGAGTGTGTGTGTGGATAGATTATCGTGGCTTCTGTAGTGGTACATTTATTGTGTGTGCTGTTGTGTGTTCAGTTCCAAAGAATTAAACGATTGGAAACTGTTTAAATGACTCTGTTTCATAATAACAAAAATAGATGATTTTCATCTAGTTCCTCTCACTGATTGTTTACATACAACTGTTCAAATATTCGGGGTAGGTAAGATCATTTTCTATTTTTATATATTTAAAAATGAAAAAAAATCTACATTTTCGGCATCATTACTCCAGTCTTCAGTGTCACATGATCCCCCAGAAGTCATGCTGATTTGCTGCTCAATTAACATCTATTTTGTATTATTGTTGAAAACACTCTTTACAGGATCCTCTGATGAATTCAAAGTTTAAAAGAACAGAAATCTTCTGTAACAATGTGAGTCTTTACTGTGACTTTTGATCAATTTAATGCGTCCTTGCTGAATAAAAGTATTCATTTCTTTCAAAGAAATAAAAAGTGAAGTACTGACCCCAAACTTCTGAACGGTAGTGCAGGTCTGTGTTTCTACTTTTAAAAGCTTTATGAATCAACAATATATTACACACCTGTGACCTGTTTCTCAGGGACAGGCTTGTGTTGATCTGGCCTCATGGACATTTTTCAGCCTGTGGATGCTTGTGTAGTTACATGAGACAAGGAAATTCACCAGACACACTGAATAATAAAACTTTATTATTTGTTTTTTTTTGTTATTATTATAACTTTACAAACTTTGTTTATATGTGTCAGAAGGATAGATGGGGATTTAAACAGTAAACAAACCATGGGACAAAATCAGTCACAAAAAAAAAAAACAGTTCACAACCAGCTATTTCTGAAGTGAACGTCCTAGTGGGACTTACAAAAGGCATGTAGCTGAAAATGAAGAACTTTGCAAATAAGTTCTTTAATTAAACCAGTATACTGAAGCACAGAACAAGTATTAAGATTAGGCTTCTCTTGAGAGAAAAAAAAGTGTTTAGTGTTAAGTGCTGATACAAGGTCAGTTTCTGATTGATATTACTTCATAATGATAGTCTGGTACGGGTCCATCTACCCAACGTGAGGTATGCAAAGCACCTACATCAGATCAGAGTCTACTAACTTACATCTGTCCTATGTTGTTATGATAATATGAAAAGACTGCTTTCGATACTGAGAACCTACAACACAGCAGACTAGATTGAAAAAAAAAAAAGAACCAAACAATTTTTCATCTAAGGAACCATTCATGCAGAAATCCAGGTATTTTGAAATGGTAAAAACTGAAAAAAAACACTGGATTTGTCTGTGTATGTATTCGTATATTTTATCATTCGGAATATGGGGTGAGCTAAATGTCTCTTCTCAGTTCTTGGCAGTTTGACTGTGAGAGTATGTGCGCTTGTTCTCTTTTACCTTTGGCCTTTACCGTAACCTCTCCGCACTTTTAACCACCAAAGCCGTGGCTCCCACTTCATTTCGGCAGGCAGTTTAGTTTGTCCCTGAACTGAGTCAGTATCACAGCAACCAGCCCCGCTGCCACGCCAACAACTGCCACAACGATGCCAATCATAGTGCCCACCGACTCTTCAATCACACCTGAGCAGGGATTTGATGAAAAAAAGGTATAATCTCACTGTAATCTCTCATTGTCTCAGATGAATGACTGTAATTGGCTCCTTAAAAACAATACTTCATATGTTCACATTTACTCAGTTATCTAGCGTTCACATATAAACCATTTTATTTTTTTTACTAATTTTTCACTTTAATATTTATTGGTTATTGGCCATAACAGATTATTGGCACAGGCCATAGTTTTAATGCTAAGTTTAAAATTTGATACGTTTTTATAGGTATTTTTATATTTTTTGTTCTCAGTTTAAATTTTTAATTAAATTTTAATTAAATTTTTAGTTTTTGTATAACTTTTTTTTTTTAAATGTATACAGTTTCCATACATTTTTATTTCACATCAAGTTAAACTAAACGAAAATGCTGGCATCCAGCTGGAAAAAAAAAAGTTTCAGTTTTTTTTTCAGTTAATGTTTATTTTATTCAAGTAACAGAATGGTTTTTTTAATGGTTTCAATATAAATTTAGTTAACTTTAATAGCCCTGATTTGAATTGCACTAAGAAAATCACAAAAGGGAGGATTCACCCAAAAATGAAAATTTGCTGTTAATTTACTCACCCTCAGGCTATCCAAGATGTAGGTGTCTTTTTTTCTTCAGTAGAAATGTAAAGAACCATTTTACCTGAAATCGTGGTCCTTGGGGATTCTTATAATGCAAGTTACTGGGTGCCGTCACTACATTTTGTTTTGCCTGTATATGTTTTCTGATTCTCAAAGTAATGGTAGCGGTTGACTTGCATTCACCAAGGACCACGGTTTCAGCTAAAAATCATCTTTACTGTTCTACTGATGAAAAAAAGACACCTACATCTTGGATGGCCTGAGGGTGAGTAAATTAACAGCAATTTTTTATTTCAGGGTGAACCATCCCTTTAAGGTCTTCCTTGAGTTTTACAGGCCATAGATTCATTAAAAGATAAATATACACTCACCTAAAGGATTATTTGGAACACCATACTAATACTGTGTTTGACCCCCTTTCGCCTTCAGAACTGCCTTAATTCTACGTGGCATTGATTTAACAAGGTGCTGAAAGCATTCTTTAGAAATGTTGGCCCATATTGATAGGATAGCATCTTTGCAGTTGATGGAGATTTGTGGGATGCACATCCAGGGCACGAAGCTCCCGTTCCACCACATCCCAAAGATGCTCTATTGGGTTGAGATCTGGTGACTGTGGGGGCCATTTTAGTACAGTGAACTCATTGTCATGTTCAAGAAACCAATTTGAAATGATTCGAGCTTTGTGCATTATCCTGCTGGAAGTAGCCATCAGAGGATGGGTACATGGTAGACTTGTAGTCGAGACCGCCTAAACCGAGACCAAGACACTACCAAGACCAGATGGTATCGAGACCAAGACAAGACCAAGACCAAGACCAAGACCAAGACAAAGACAGACCAAGTCGAGACCAAGACCAAGTCGAGACTAAGACCGAGACCAAGTCGAGACCGGAGGGGAAAAAAAAACATTAGTGTTGAAGCTAAGCAATAACTTGTCAAATGTTGTTTTGCATTTGCCTGCCTATCTCTGCTGATTTCGAAGTCTCCAAATGAATCCATTCTGCAACTTTTAAATACATAATTATATTTTTAAAAACGAAATTATAGGCTTAAGTGCAGGATCCGAAAGTTGGTCGTTTTTGTCGCTATGGTTACACACACACACACACACACACACACACACCGTTGGCGGTGCGCTCAAAGTCATCTGTCAGTTGTGCAGTTACCCAAAATCTCCTGAATGAAGGTAAAACCCATCATGTCACTGATATGTGTTTTACTAAATATTAATATATCAAAAACTGTACATGATATGTGTTTTTTAAATCAAGTGATCAAAGTGCTCGTTGTTGCTGCGATCAGTGGCGCGGATACAGTGTTTTCTCGCGTGGCTCGCGCGCACCGCACTGTCTTCACTCGGACGCGCGCTTCAATCCGTTGCGGATATCGTCGTGGATATTGTAGTATTGTATTGCTAAATCCTCCGACCACTATGTCAGTCTGAGACAGCGAGACCTAGACAAGACCGAGAGGTCCGAGACCAAGACAAGACCGAGACCAAAGACCGTCAAGGCCAAGACAAGACCGAGACCACGTAAAAGTGGTCTCGAGACCGGTCTCGAGATCAAGACCGGTCTCGAGACATACATCACTAGTACATGGTGGCCATAAAGGGATGGACATGGTCAGAAACAATGCTCAGGTAGGCCGTGGCATTTAAACGATGCCCAATTGGCACTAAGGGGCCTAAAGTGTGCCAAGAAAACATCCCCCACACCATAGCACCACCACCACCAGCCTGCACAGTGGTAAAAAGGCATGATGGATCCATGTTCTCATTCTGTTGACGCCAAATTCTGACTCTACCATCTGAATGTCTCGACAGAAATCGAGACTCATCAGACCAGGCAACATTTTTCCAGTCTTCAACTGTCCAATTTTGGTGAGCTCTTGCAAATTGTAGCCTCTTTTTCCTATTTGTAGTGGAGATGAGTGGTACCTGGTGGGGTCTTCTGCTGTTGTAGCCCATACGCCTCAAGGTTGTGCGTGTTGTGGCTTCACAAATGCTTTGCTGCATACCTCGGTTGTAACGAGTGGTTATTTCAGTCAAAGTTGCTCTTCTATCAGCTTGACTTAGTCGGCCCATTCTCCTCTGACCTCTAGCATCAACAAGGCATTTTCGCCCACAGGACTGCCGCATACTGGATGTTTTTCCCTTTTCACACCATTCTTTGTAAACCCTAGAAATGGTTGTGCGTGAAAATCCCAGTAACAGCAGATTGTGAAATACTCAGACCGGCCCGTCTGGCACCAACAACCATGCCACGCTCAAAATAGCTTAAATCACCTTTCTTTCCCATTCTGACATTCAGTTTGGAGTTCAGGAGATTGTCTTGACCAGGACCACACCCCTAAATGCATTAAAGCAACTGCCATGTGATTGGTTGATTAGATAATTGCATTAATGAGAAATTGAACAGGTGTTTCTAATAATCCTTTAGGTGAGTGTATATATAAAATTAAATTATGTATCTGAATATTGGTTTGTACACTAATATCCTTAAAAACCCTAATTCTCTCTCACCCAGCTCTTTGCGGATGCTGAGTTTGGTCCCACCTCCATGAAGAATAGTTGAGTTTGTTGATATGAAGGCACACAAATATAATCCTTGATCTTCCACTGAAATGTTCCTTAGTGTCATAGATAGATCTCCCATAGGCAGATCACCAGACAAAAACACACGACCAGCAAACACATCCTCCACCGTCTCATTTCCATGTAGAACATTCCTCCTTTCCTCCAAACTCAGCACATACCAGCTCACGTTCTCCACAGCCAGTACTTCATCCACACCACTTTTTAAAAAACAGGGTAACATCACATTCTCCCCTTCCACAGCTTTTGCCTTTGGAGGCTGTTGTAAAATTGACACCCCCTGTGGGCCTGGAGGTTTGACAGCCGGCAGAGCAGGTAAAACCTCTGTTGTGGACGTGATGAGGATGGTCAGGGGAGTTTGATTGGTGATAATGGACGCATTTACAAGTAGACAAAGAGAAAGATGCCCACCTGTCAATAAAACATTATTATTATTTGCCAGTGCAATAATTATTCATTTAATGCATATCATATGTATAGTATATGTGAAAGAGTAGGCCTCATGAAAATGCACTTAAACTCTGTCACTTGTCTTGGACAAAACTCAATAACATCACATAAAAAAAAAGATGTATGTTTATTTGGCATGTGTAAAGCAGAACAGTTACCAGTCAAGAACATTTGAACCAATCAAGGAAAATTCACACATATACACTGATGCTATAAATAGATACAGTGGCTTGCATAGCAGTGTTATGGTGACAGAGTCCCTTTACTAAAATTAGAGACTCAAAAGTCACAAGGATTAAAATATCAAAAGTCCTATGTGGAGAGTAAATCCTCCAACCTTTACTTTATTAGATCAGTTCAGAACTTATTCGGTTGTCAGTTCAGAAATAATTCCTTATATTTTTTTAATAAAGACTGTACCAATAAACAGACTTAACATGAGTCGCATCACGTAACTCAGTGAATTAAAAAATGTTAAACTGATATGACTAAAATGTTGTAAACGTAACATTAATGCTGTAACCCTCTTTGCCTCGGTACAGTATAACATGTCTCTCTCTCACATACTTCATGTCTTCTCATTAATGTTCCATAAACACATGGAATTAAAAATACATTTTCTGTGAAACAGACAGTTGATTTAATGGCCAAATGACATTTCAAAGGTTCTAGTTAAAAGATGCAGACTTTAGAAATGAGTTAAATTGAGTGCATACTGCTTATTAATAGGTGAAGATGCAGTCTGTTTAGTTTAAAAGATTTATGACCGCAAACTACTTAATCCAGGCTGACGTGAGAGCAAGACATTTACACACATTTATGAGGTTAGCTGCTGAAATTAGGCATGTAATGTGCTTTTTGTGGATATGATTATTTGTGGAGGGAGGGAAAATATAAAGTCTGCTCTTTTGAGTTTTCTTGTTAATGTGTCAAGGTAAGTTAGTAGAGCACAGAGAAATGAGAATGCTATAATGCTGAGGGAAAGATAGAAAGTCTTACCTGTGAGGGCAGAGAGGAAAAGGTGACTAAGTAAGGTTCTAGAAGTTAAGAGACTGAGGAAAGCCATATCTGTCTCAGAGAAGTGTCACACACTGACACAGAGCTGACAGAGCTACACTTTGTCTCCCCCTCCAACACCACCACACACACTTTGGTCCTTTCCACACACTTAGTTACCTTGCCTGCCTACCTATACCATACTAGTGGTGTGCGGTGGTGTTTTAAAACAAGGCGCAAAATACTCACTTTTTTATATACATATCAAATGTAAATTTGTGTCCCAGTTACACTTAATTTTCCTGTTTAAATAAACATTACATAAAAAGAGAGACCAAATACAATTCTATTTTGTATCTTTACACTAACTATGTAACATTTCATAAACCCAAGAATAAATTTCATCAAGTTAGTGTTTTTACGCATTTTTACATTTATTCCAAAATAATAACTAAAGGCAGTAACAATTTAAACAATATTGTCTGAGGGGTCTGTTAAAAGTAAATGGGCACAGAGGCACTGTTACTTCACCTGCGGGTGTCGCTGGTGGACAGTGTTACTTTATAAAAACCAGGCTTGTACACTTTTTAATGTCACATTTTGTAATATTTGCGTTGTTTTATTTTTGTAATATAGATTATCTTCTCAACATATTTTTGAGGTGGCACTGCCTCCCTTGCCTCCTCGGAGGAAACGCCCCTGCTATCTATCTATCTATCTATCTATCTATCTATCTATCTATCTATCTATCTATCTATCTATCTATCTATCTATCTATCTATCTATCTATCTATCTATCTATCTATCTATCTATCTGCCTTCGTCTGTCTATTTCTATATTATGTCGTTGTATACAAATATGGCAAACTGTTGAATATTGCACTCCGTTATGTGCCGTAACAAAATTGAGTAGCTCAGTGAGTCTATATACAGTAGATTCTGGCTTAAAACTCCCACAAGAGCAATGTGAGGCCTCCAGAGTCTACAAAGTATCTACAGATTATATTACCGGGAGATCAGGCGTGATGACAAATGATGTGGTCTGTTGTGTTGAGATGTGCAGTATATGTGGCTATCCAGTCTGAAATTTAACTCTCCCTCCCTCACTCCACTACGAAAGAAATGAGGAGATTAGAGAGTGGAATATTTTAAATGGAAGGTTTATGCACTTAGCAACACTAGAAAATAAAGAATGACGTAACCCATTCGAAAATGTGAAATGTGTCAAGGCCAATGAGAAAAGCTCTCTTGGACTCAAACTACAGTGGAGCACTTGAAATGTAAACTTTGCCGTTTGCAAAATGCAATTAAGATGATAGTGGAACTGTACCTCAATAAAAAAATATTTTGCAATAAATTCAAAACTCTCTGCAGGATGTGGTACTGCTGACCTCTGCTACGGAGCAGAATCCAGGATGTTGGAATGACTTTGGAGTCCCACGGTCAGTAAACGTTTCTCTGGAAAATTCGAGTCTGATTAATCAATAGCGCCATCCAGCGTTCAGATATTTTTTAATATTCGGTGTCAGCCATCAACACCGATGACCTCTGTTGCTACTTTCAGCGCGGGTCGCTCTCTGTTGTTTCACACACACGCATCTGGCTTTTCAGTTATCGACTGTAGTAAAAATTACCTCGGAGGACTTCACAATGTTGTAGGCCTAGTGTTCGATGCTGCAAGGAAGAATTTGTATATTATAACAAAATAGGAACTAGCTATTTCTTTAGCGAAATCTTTCAGATAACAAATAGGCAAATATTTATTTGGTGAGTAGCTAGCTCTGCAGGTACTGTAAATAAAAGTCCTGTCCATCTCTATGTTGCTGTCATACATCCATCATCTCAGAGAATGGCAGGCAATTAAAACAGTCATATTCCTCAAACTGCATTTTAAGGTACGTTTGTTGAGTGCATGCTGAAATGTATGCATGCCCTTTTACTGAAGGCCATTATGAATTTGAATGCATATGCCTCATGCTGTTTTAATGTGGAGGATATAATTATAAAGACATTTGTTTTACAGTTTATCGTTACAAGGGTCACGTCATGCCCTGCTCTTCCTGTCTGTGCCTCTTTCAAATTGTTCAGCTTGTTCATGATTTCATTACAGAGTGTGTGTAAAGCAAACACAGCAGTCACTGCAAAAGGCACACACAATTTGTCTCTCTTGCGTGCTCTATCAGAGATAAAATGCATAACGCTGATGGATAAACTGAGTTTCCGGATCATTATGTCATCTTAGTCAGACAGAGAAAGACAGGCTACACCCATAGATGCATTAGACAGACAGACTGCATTAGACCAAGTGCATTAAGCCTAAAGGTCGGCTGCAGTATGTGAATGTGAGCGCTAATCATACGCAGGCTTTTAACACACTCACTCCAGTTAGTTCCGGTTCACTTTTAGTCTTTGCCACAGAGAAGCTCAATATCAACTGCATTACTGTAAGGCATTACAGTAAGAGCTGCACTATCATGACAGAGCCTAGATAAGACTCCAGCGCCAGTGTGCTGAAGATATTTTTACACACTAATGTTTAAGTTGATTATGGGTGTCTTTAAAGGGATAGTTCAGCCAAAAATAAAATTCATTCACCTCATGTTGTTACAAACCTGGATAACTTTTTCACTTTCTCTCTTCTGTAAAACACAAAAGGAGAAATTCTAAAGAATCTACTGGTCTTTTTTTTTTTAAATGCAAAAGCACCATAAAAGTGGTCCATATGATGATTCTTTTTACATCTCGTTTTCTTAAGACGCTTAGACACTTAGTTTGTGTGAGGAACAGACTATACAATTTAATAATCTTTCCCCTCCAGTGAGCTGTCATTGATTCATAAAGCTTATTTGTGAACAAATCATTCAGACTGTTTTCGTGAACCGTATCAAGGGATTCATTGAAAAAATACGACTCAGTGCCCAAAAGAGAGCTAAAACGATCACAAGCGAATGATGACTTGAATTTAAGTTTGTTTCGCACATAAAGCTATGGTATCAGAAGACTTTAAGGCCCTGTTTACACCTGGTATTAAGATGTGTTTTAGTCGATCGGATCACAGGTGGATGACGCTAAATACAGCTGTAAATGGGGTCTAAAACGTTTTGAGCTTGTCCACTTTGGACCACTTCCAGAGGTAGTCGACAACGCATTCGACCGGATTGCTTTCGTGATGTAAACGCTCATTTGGTCGAATGTGTTCGAACAGCCACAAAAGGCCGCCTACTAAACATTATGGGAAGTGCGCTATCCAGATGGGATTTAAACTTTGTCGGCTGAAGAGCCACGTTTGGTTTGAAGACAAAAAAACATACCAAGCACAATGTTCTCTCACTTTTCCTGATTTCTAACACGCACTCACAGTGTTCGGCGTGGTCTTGCGGCTGTCAGCAGAAACGAAAGCTGATGCTCTCAGTATTTTATCTGTTTTCTGCAATCGTGCTTAAAATGTAAATTGCGTGAGATTATTTCGTCCATTAAATTAAAAGATCTAAAAAGTTTATACATTCACCCGCCCATAGACCCTACCCAAAGAAATCAGGGCAGAAGTGGTTGAAAGTGGACAAAAGAGACAGATTAAAATACCATATAACCGGGAATGTGTCTCCCTCGCCTACATGGGATCCGATCGACCAAAACGCATCTTGATACTAGATGTCAACAGTGGCTAAATATAACATAGCCTCACTACTTTTATGATCATTTGATGGTGATTTTATATCCATTTTGAAGCTTGAAAGGACATTGCATGGGAATTGTAAAAAAAGGTAGAATTTTCATTTTGGGGCAAACTATCCCTTTGCATGTGTGTGGTAGCTTTTTTTCTTCTTAGCACTGTTTTATTGTATAACCAAACATGGTCTGTGATTAATTGTATTCTCAAATGAAATACTCACAAGCACAAACAAAAGCACACCTGAGGTCCTGCTTAGCAACTGGGGGAATGGAGCCCAAATCAGCAGTTTATAAAGACCAGTTAGAAGGGATAAATTCTTCATATTTTGCTTGTGTAATCTGTTTACTTTGTTTTCCCTCAAACGATGAGGTCATAGCAGAAGAACACCTGTTGCATTTCAAAGACTGTTTTATCAGCAAACTGCTGCTGTTAAAGCCTCTTTTACCTATGAATGCCCTGTAGACTCTTGCATGTGTTTTTATTGTAGGCTAATCGTGACTGGTGTTTATGCCATTTTGAGATGCAAATGAATTGAGAGTTACGCACATGCCTCTTATTTGGGGAGATTTTAATCAAGTATTAAATCAAGTATTTCATCCACTTCTGTGTTTGTGAAACTAGTTCCACTGTCATTTTGCCTTTGACAGGTGTCTATGCAGTAAATAGGCAACCCATGCACTGGGTTTAAAAGGGAACATTGTGTCCTCCTGTTGGTTCAGTTCATCGCTTACAAGAAACCTGATCTCAGAGGGTGTGGTCACATCAAAGGATTCACATATCCGAGCTATCGCACTAGGAGGTCACATATCATCTCCACTGTGACTATAGTTTGACCCTGACCTCCGAATATGGTTGCTAAAGATTGATGTGTCAACTGCTGCCTACACATACAACCAAGTTTGGGGTGAAGGAAGATAGAGAGTTATGAGCACTGTAAGCGATCTGATGACATGTATACTATTTAGAAGGACAGCGTTGGTCAAGACTTGGCAGTTACAAAGTATTTTGTTTCTTGATGGGATTGGAGACTCCAGCAGGAGCTACAGCAGCTTCACCTCCACAAGAGACCACTGGCTCTCACATCATGTAGCACCTGCTGACCACCGGAAGGAAACTTTTAATGGCTGACTTGCAAGAATCGCGCCGGATGAGCAGTAGCACACCTGGTCTATGGGCATGTCGAATTCTGCTTAAGAAAAGCTAAAAGGAAATGGTGATATTTCTAGAAAGTGTCATGCCCATATTACATAAAAACGTATATTTGGTGGGGATTTGAACTCAGTAATCTTCTCACACTATAAATAAAACACAATACCGCCAGACAAAAACATATGGGTCCTATTTTTTTTAATAAGGCTACATTTAACTAACTAAATTTTAATTATTTTCTATTATAGCCTAATTATTTTTTATTTTCAAGAATTAAGTGTATAGTCAATGCTTCTTTTTTTTGTACAATTTATGTACAATTTAAATCTCTCCCCCAACAGACCGATAAAATAAAGTAAGAACATAAAATGTTAAGTATTTTGGAGTTGAAAAAGTAAAGCTGCATTGAAGGGTCAAAAGGGAAAGGTCATGACTGCTTCCAATTTGTCGAGCAACACACAGATTGTAAAACTTTTTGATATAGCAATTGTCATAAAACTAAAAATGTACTTTTTTGTTTACGTACAATGGCCTATATCAAAACCTGCCAATAACTAAAACATTTTTTGTAGCGTATTTATTCACAAACACGGGCTAAAATTGACGGGCAGACAATAGGGGGGTGAGCAGGGGCACAACCTAACGCGGGGCTAGTTGTAACACACTTTGTTTTAAATACTTCCACACATGCATGTATTTAGTTGCCATATCAACAGTAGAGAAAAAAATGGACCAAAATTCTGAAATCTTTGGAAGATATTACTGAACATTACTTTAACCATAGCAAAAGTGAATTGAAGTTATTTTTTCATCTCTGTTTTTTGTGTTTATTTAAAATTAGACAAATCTGATATTATTTTAATCTCATATATGTTATTTAACAGTTGAGATAGTCCTTTAATGCTTATCTAACCACACTAACCAGGTTTAAATCCCAGTTGTGCAGGTGGGACATGTTGTAACACTGCATTAGAGAGCTATTCTATACTTTTATGAATTTATTGAGAAAACATGAGAAAAAGGTGAATAAAGACTGAGGGTCAATGTTTAGAAATTATTAACTATTATTATGTTTTGAACTATGCTAGCTGTGTGTTTGTTGTCAAACTCAAAAATGTGTTTATTTAAAAAAATGTTTTAATGCCATTATTTTATATGAAAAAGTTCATTGTCTTTTATTGACAAAATATTTTAGTTTGTCTTGTATATTTTTTTGATTGGATCAGATAACATTTTTATCTGGTCATGTTACAATGTACCCCACCTATGGGGCATGTTGTCACATTTCACTTCCATTCTTTCGGGGTATATCCAGAAAAAAGTATAGCCTACACTGTATTAAAGAAACAAAACCACATAATTGGACTAGACGTGTGAAATGAATGCGGGGAGAAAAAAAAAGAAATACTCTGAACCCTTAAGTGGGTTACACAAACTGAGAAAGTAAAAAAGCGTTAGGTTGTGCCCCGCTCTCTCCTAGGTGAGTTCAAATTTGAGGTCACAAGTACTCTGTGACCCGATGTTTGGCCCGCCGGTTATGCACGGTACGCGCGCCGGTAACTTTCCGCGTCGATTCACGTTTTCGCTGTCACGGTAACACCTGCCAACTTCCTTTTTCAACGACGGCACCCAGCCCTATCGGTAACAACGCTCATAAACAGGTTCCTCTCACGCGCCTGCTCTCAGAACATTTGAGAGACCGGAACGGGAGCGCGCAGAGTTATCTATCATGCCTTTCCTTCCTTACAGTTCTGAGAATCTTCACGAGCTGCACCTCATAGTCTGATACACCCTACAAGGAAGCGCCTTCCTGTGTATTGCACGTATTTTTAGGAGCAAACGAATGAGATGTAGGCTATCTCTTAAAAATATAGATTTTGCTTACATTTATATAATTGTTATATGAAACGAAGACGCGCCTGGACTTCCACCTGCTTTCTCTGACGGGAAATAGCCTATTCGTTTGACCGAGAAAAAAAAATCGGATTACGGATAAAACTTCATTTGGATTTCTATGGATGACATCTTGACATCTCAGGCTAAACAAACTGACCTGTTCTTTTTCCAAACTACTACAAGTGCAACTGAAGATCAGGAAAGACTCACCAGGAATAGATGTATAAACTGAAGAACTTCGTGTGGGATGCATTTCCATCTGTGTTGAGGCTGTTAAACCATAGGTAAAAAAAAAAATATATATATTATGCTAAGATCATTTTGATATAGGTTTCAAAAAAGAAATTATTGTTGATATGTATTTTAAGTGGTCTTCAGAAATGTAATCATCCTATTTAGAGTTAATTTTGAATCACAATCAAGGGCAAACCTTTTTTTACTCCAGGGATCAAATGTAATTTAAAACATGTCAAACACATGCTGCTCAATTATTTTCTCTATTTCACAACTTATGATGGAGAACGGCCTCCCAGGGAAAAGTTTTTTGATGGCCCAATTATATAATCCACATGAGACATCAGATGGCCTTGATTCAAGTTACAAAGAGCAAATTTAGATATTAACCCTTTCATGCATGAATTGACAACCTCAGTCAGGATCCCCCCAACCATACGATGTCCTTAGATGTTACTTGATGCTACAACATTTTTTTAATTTTACCTGCAAGAGTAGGCTAGAAAGAATAAATTGATATTTCTGACTGGCCATGTGCAACTATGCCATCAAAACCCATGCAAGAAAGTGTTTTTTGAATAGCTGTCCACTGTCACTTCTAAAGGGTTAATAGTATTTTCTGCATTGATACACTACATAATTATAGACCAGAGCTTATGTTATTGTGTGCGTCCATCTGTATGTCTGTGCCAGTGTCAGCTCCCAATTCACTGTAAAACCTGATGAGTTAGTTCAACTCAAACCGTTTGAGGAAACCGATTGCCTTAAATCATTTAAGTTTATTAACTCAAACAATTTAAGCTTTAAAAAATATTTTATTTGTGTTCAAGTAACTCAATAACTTATTGTTAAGATAACTTGGTGAAATAAAGTTAATAGTACTAATTCCATTCAGTTAATATAACTTAAATCTATGAAGTACACTGTAAACCCAAATAAGTTGGCAGAACTCAAAATACTTTTATTAGTATAAACTTAGTTAGCTTTAAAAAGCTAATCTGCTAACATAGTAAATGCTAACATATTAGCAATAGTATGTTATACAGAAACACTTACTGTATGAGCACAGCAATACGATTACTCTCCCTTTCGAGTGCCATCGGCAAAGCATGCTGGGAAATAGACATCACAGCTGTTTCAGTTAAACTTAAGTTCGTCTAAATTAAAATAAATAATTTCATAAAACTCAAAACAATGAAACAGTTCAGTTTACTTAAAATATATCAGTTCAGTGAACTTGAAAGAAAAAGAAAGTGCTAAATAAACTAATTTGTTTAATTTAAGTTTGTCCTACTCAAACCAATTAATTATTTTGAGCATTAGGGTTTGAGAAAGACATGGGTTGGGCCAGATGTCCGTGTTAGACATCTGACTATGTGCTGTTCCTCTGTGACTTGAAACTAGTGAGCTTAGGCCATTAGTGTGTAAATTACCTATTAAAATGATTCACCTCACTTGAACTTTTTTGTATTTAATTTATTGTATTTTCTTATATATATATAATATATATAAGTATTGTATGTATTTTCTTATATATTATATATATATATACTTTTTTTTCAAGGAATTTAGCAAAATGTAATTTTTTTTCTTTGACAATATAGGGGGGTTTGTCATGATCACTGGCATATATATATATATATATATATATATATATATATATATATACATACATACATATATACATACAGTATATATATATATATATTTATGCCAGTGATCATGACAAACCCCCCTATATTGTCAAAGAAAAAAAATTACATTTTGCTAAATTCCTTGAAAAAAAAGTATATATATATATAATATATAAGAAAATATACAATACTTATATATATTATATATATATAAGAAAAATTTGCTTTGATAGACAAGAATGACCCTTTCTTACCCAAATCACAGATTTATGTATTAGACTAGATTAAGGAATCCCTACCTGGTGAAGTTCATTATTAAATAATAAAAAAGGGTGAAATAAGAAACAATTAAGAATCTGTCCTCTAAAATTGCACAAAAATGCCAAGAGGGCTGACACTTACTGTTTTGCACACTTCATAAAATCAGTTCCATAAATTTGTTATTTGTGCATTGTGGATGGTCTGATAACCATCAAGATCAAGTGTAAAGTGATATAAGGAGAGCACTGACAACGCTATTGACAAGGACTGATTTTGTTATTTCTTTCCAGCCAGTGCAACACATGCTTTTTACATGAAGCTTCTGATGAAAAAAGCAGCAGATGACCAGCAAGTAAGCTGAACAAGAAATCTACCTGCATCCGTTATGTCAGCTAACAGCTGGAACTTCCAACAGCCCTGAATCAATCCTGTCCAAACATGAATGAACCCTTTCCACTTATTTGAATAAATGTGATCCAACCAAATACTAAAAAAAGCTTGGTCTCACAGTGAAGGCAGATTGTCTCTGACACAAAGAGATGAAACGAGAACGTTTTAAGCCCCCGCATCCAGATGACCCTCTGTGCTGCTGTGGAGACATCGACCAGCAAAGAGAGTACTGCTGCTGTGACTGTGAAGAACTTGATGATGCCTGTGAAAGGTCAGAGGTCAACCATTTAACCATTCATGGCAGGGAGGGGAACTTTGTCATTGCATTTGTTCATATAAGCTTTCTAAAGAGTAGTTCACACAGAAATTATTCTAGGAATTAATTTTGTCCTCGTTTACTCACCTTCAGTTTTTTCCAAACGCTTTTTTATCCGTGGAGATCATTTGCAGCTGATATTTTCCATGCAACAAAAGTCTGTGAAGGTGTGTAAATGAGGACAAACCTTTCATTTATGGCTGAATCCATCAATTTTTATTTGTTTTGCTCTTTTCAATGAAAATGTCTTTATTTCCTCTTTCATCCCTTCTCATTAGGTTACTCAGAGGAGAGCCAGACAAGCCAGACATCTTCTCTCGTTTCATCTCTCATATGGCTGATTGTTTGGGTTTGCCATGTTGTGCCATAGGACCCCTTCGATTGGAGCTCTCTGTTTTACCTCCCATGGTATTAATTCCTGGCCTGTTGCGAGTGGCGGCAATTAATTGTATCTTGGGAGTTGTAGTCTTAACTGCCCTACCAGGACTGGTGCTTTGGTATTACTATGTGACTCACAAAAGGAAAAGACGCACATTGTTTTTCCTTAGTTTGGCACTTTTCTCCCTTGCCTATATGTACTACCTTTTCCTTACTGAGATCGTTCCCAGAGGAGACGTAAGTAATCTGCAGCTGGTTACCGTGACGACAGGCATGATGTCGACGCTTATCTCCCTTGTGCGCACCAAACAGGGACCAGGCCTTGTCAAATCCCAATCATTAGCTCTGGGAATCAACAGTAGCTCTACAACCAATCAGAGCACAAACTTACCCAGAGACTCTACCACCTACAATGGAATCAGCCAGTCAAAGGGGGAGAAGGAAGGAAAGAAAAAGTTATGCCCTGTGTGCAGACTGGTGCGCCCACCAAGAGCTGGGCACTGCAGGATCTGTGGGGCATGTGTCCTACGAATGGACCACCACTGTGTTTGGTGAGTTTCTCACTCCTTCTTCTGTGAAAATTGAGTATGAAATCTTTATTCTCAATGTGAAGTGAATGAATATTTAAATATTCTGGAAACTAGAGAAAAAGGTTGTGCACTGGGGCCATTTTCCATATGCAGTGTGTCATGAACAACCAGAGAAGGTTAGATCCAAACGCAGCGTGAGTTTATTAGAGGATAGTCAGACAGGCTAGGGTCACAGACAGCAAACACAGCATAGGAGACGAGGCAATACTCAGAGTCCGATAACCAGGCGGGAAGACAGAGGAAGGCGGCAGACGAAACGGAATCCAGGAAACAGGCGATGGGTCAGAAACACAGACAGGACTAGACTCAGAAAAGCTTGGTGATGTCCACAACAGTAAAACAAGACTTAGCAATGAGTGATAGTGAGAGTGGGGTACAAATGAGTGTGGAGCTGCGTGTGGAACTAGATGCAGGTGTGAGAGTGATCAGTGGAAACAGGTGTGCGCAATCAGTCCAAGGGAAGCCAGTGCAGAAGTGGAGCGCCCTCTCGTGACACTAGGGCAATCCAGCCGAACTTCATCACACAGTGTTATGGTAACCAAGGGGGTAATCCATCGACCGGAAGTTGAAGCCGGCCGGGTGCCGCCATGTTGTAGCAGAACTTCACTTGCGTTAGCATTTCCATTGACTCCCATTCATTTTGGCGTCACTTTGACAGCGAATAACTTTACATCTGAGGCGTTTAAAGACTCCATTTGTCCATTATTTATTTCTAAAGAAACACGACAATGTATAAAGGGCTCCATTACCTTCTATGTTACATTATGGCCCCGTAGAAACAGATTTAGTAAAAACAGGCTAACGATTGCGTCATAACCACTCGACTCTCTGTCGCGCTGTACAGAAATTACCGTACAGACAGGAGGAGAAGCTCGCAGGCAATCGGGGGGACGTCCCGTCAAGGGAGAAGCCCATAGATAATGAGTCCATAAAAGCAACGGAATACTTACTCCTGCTCACTCACGCCAAAGAACTCTTTGCTCAAGTTCCCCGTCTCTGCCAGATTAACGTTGGCAGTTTTCACGCACAGCTACTAGAAGATTAACCTCTGTCAGACAGGTTGCTCACGTCATCAAGCTTAGTTTGAGTCGGTCTGAGTCTGCGCGTCAGGAACGGAAGTTCTCAAAAATCGCTAAAAGTGGGCTTCAACTGTCTCAACTGAGTTCCAATGAGATCGCTCTGTCCACTTCTTATACTGTCTATGATGGTAACGCATTACTAGTAACTAGTAAACTAGTAGGCTAACTAGTAAAGTAACACATTACTTTTAAATTTACAACAAAATATCTGAGTTACTTTCAAATAAGTAACGTATTACTTTGATTTTCCATTTATTGCCTGACATTGTGTCCCCATTGTGAGAGAAATCGTGAGTAAGTGTAGAGGCTTTGTGTGCGCTGTGTAAACATGATGTTATTGTAGTTCTAGACTAAATGTCAGCATCTCACTTGCACAAAAACAGATTCAGTATAACTCAAAATTAATAGAAACAGTGAAACACAATCCCAGAATATTACGCAAACCTGCAATAATTAAATATATTAAATTACACAAATATACTTCATGTATTTAATCTCACTTTATTAACCAATTAGCCAGTGTTCGTTGAGCCACTTCAACCGTGCTAATAAGCAAAAATGACTTTGCTGATATTGCTGGAGTAAGCGTGTTGAATTTTCTTCTCCATCCTGTTCTTCTTCAATCCAGAATGGCAGCACAGCTGAAAGGTTTTTTAAAAACTGCGCCCTCTACTGTACGGTTGTGAATTTGCATTTCCTTCAACTTGAAGCTTATTTATTTCACTTTTGGTGTGAAAGAGCCTTCACATTTGCCAAAAATAGAACTTTTTTTGTTGTTATTAAACACACAAACAAGCAAGCCCAGTCCAGATGAGAATAAGTAAAGCAAAAGTAATAAAACATTACTTTCCATAAAGTAACTAAATAACGCTAGTTAATTAATTAATTATTTATTTTTAGGAAGAAACACATTATTGTGAGGCATTACTTTTAAAAGTAACTTTCCCCAACACTGTATATATGTGTATGTGTCTTTCAATGACACAATTATCTGTATCTACACTTCCATTCAAAAGTTCTCAAGTTCTCAAAACTCAGGCTGCATTTATTCGGCCAAAAATACAGTAAAGCACTAATATTGTAACATATTGTTACAATTAATATAACTGTTTATATTAATTAAATATATTTTAAAATGCAATTTATTCCTGTGTTGGCAAAGCTGAATCTGCATCATTACTGCATCATTGTCTTCAGTGTCACATGATCCTTCAGAAATCATTCTAATATGCTGATTGGGTGCTCAAGAAACATTTCCTTTTATCAATGTTAAAACAGTTGCGCTGCTTATTTTTTTGTGGATAGTATTTTTAAATGATTATCATATTTAATTATTTATTATTCATTTTTAATTAAAAACCCAACATAAATAAAAGTCCTGATGTATGCACAATAAAAGGAGAGAGAGTAATGTGGCCATTCATGATGTTCACATCTTGGTGTCAGAAACTCAATATTGCATTATAATTTTAGATGATCATTCAAAAATATTACTTTATGTTTGTACTTGTTGGGTAATCAATCAAAAGAATATGTTTTATATCAAACATTAATTTTCATGTCGTTATTTTGGCTTCATGCACATCCCTAGTATAGAAATAGTTGGACAATTCCAAAATGAATTGTAGGCCATTCTCTTAGTATTATCATGCCAGTTGTTTTTATTCTTTTTCTGATCTTTTCACAATTGTTTGCATGTACACTACCCGATCACACACACATATGTTCAAGCTGATTCCCAAAAGACGTCACTGGAGCAGGGCAGGCTGGAGAGACATGTGCAAAGGCCACAGGAACGCAGCTTTCAGCACAGTAAAGGGAGATCTCGCCAGGCCAATCTGTCTCTGTGCTGCTTCAACACACACAGGCACAAATAATAACAGGAACATGCCATAGACCGTAACATGTCATTCTTATTAAAGCCACATTTAAGAGAGAGAAAATAGTGTAACTGTTCTTGACTTGGTTTTTGGTCTTAATATGTCTGTATGTGTGTTTACAGTACTGCTTACGTTTTGTGTCTTTGTGTGTGTGCCTCTCCACCACAGGATAAACAGCTGTGTAGGCCAAGCCAATCACAGGCAGTTCATTTTGACGCTTCTTCTCTTCCTATTGACATCCTTCTATGGGATCAATTTGGTGTTACGAAGTGTATGTCCTCGACAGAGTCTATTCACAGCCATGTTATACTGTCCCGGAGTCTACAACCAATACAGGTACACCATCCACTACTTTTTTTAATTTTTTTTTTTACATACAGTATACATGTGTTTAATGGAAATATGCACATACGCAGTGTTTTCAGCCTAATATAACACATTTGTGTGTGTTTGTGTGTGTAGCACAGCCCTGTGCTTTACATGTGTGTGGTACAGCGTTATCATAACAGGTGGTCTGCTCCACCTGTTCATCCTTCAGATTATCAATGTCAGTTACAACGTAACAGAACGCGAAGCTCAAATTGCTTTGCGCAACAAAACCGGCAGACGGCGCTTTTGTGGCCTGGTTGTGGAGACTGGTGTCTATTCAAGAGGTTTCCTCCAAAACTGGATTCAGTTCCTCACAATGAACACGGATGACAATGAATCCCCCTTCACCTTCACAGACATGGTATGACACAAGGGACTACAGGCATGATCCTGGGTAGTATTTAAGCCTTAATGATGCGATATGTTGAACACAACTGTGTTTAGGTCTAAAAAGTTGGTTGACACATTTACCTTGTTTGCATCAGGCAGAACGGTACTTATTATGGACAGTATGGAATTGGCAAGCAGGAACTTCTAGGCAGTCAGTTTAAATTGATGAAAACATTGTGTTTTTGGTATTTTTTGGGGTGGGGGTTATTCCAGTCGTCATGTACACTGATGAACCAAAACATTATGACCAGTCACAGGTAAAGCGAATATTATTGATTATCTCCTAACAAGGCCACATATTAAGGTTTGGGTTGATTAGATGGTAAGCAAACGTGTTGGATGCAGAAGATATGGGCGGGAATAAAGATCTGAGCGACTTAGATAAGGGTTAAATTGTTATGGCAAGGCGACTAGGTCAGAGTATCTCTGAAACGGCAAGGATTGTGGGTCGCTCCTGGTCAGCAGTGGTGAATTTACTAACAGTGGTCCGAGGAGGGACAAACCACAAACCAGCGACAAGGTGTTGGGTGCCCAAGGCTCATCGATGCACGAGGGCAACGATGGCTAAAATTTGAATGAATGTTATGGGAGGAATGTGTCAACGCACAGTGCATCGCACTCTTACGTATGGGGCTGCATAGCCGCAGACCAATCAGGGTGTCTATGATGACCCCTGTCCACCGCCTATGGGCAAGTGAGCATCGGAACTGGACCTTAGAGCAGTGGAAGAAGGTCGCCTGGTCCAATGAGTCACACTTTTACCTGGGGAAGTGATTGCAACAGGATGAACTGTGGGACGACGACAAGCCGATGGATGGAGTGTGATGCTCTGGGAAATGTTCTGCTGGGAAACTCTGGGTCAAGCCATTCACGTGGACGTCAATTTGACAGATGCCGCCTACCTAAACATTGTTGCAGACCAGGTACAGCCCTTCATGACAATGGCATTTCCTGGTGGAAGTGGGCTCTTTCAGCAGGATAATGCAACCTGCCACACTGCACACAAATGTTCAGGACTGGTTTGAGGAACAGCCTCCAAATTCCCCACACTGTAAAAAATGGTTTAACATAGGCCTCAACACTTGACACACAAACCTTAAGAATGGTGACAATCAATAAATATAAAAAGATGAGCTCTTTACACAACAAAACAAATAACTAACAACAATGACTATAATGATATATATATTATTTAAATGAAGTCAGCAAACTCACAAACCCTTTACATTTCAGAAAAATGCAGTTCTTTGTTCTTTGACGAGTTGGGACAACATTTGGGGAATTCTGTTGGTCTGACATGGGTTTTAATATTACTTAGTATTTGAGACTCAAAAGGTTTCGTAAACTGGAAAATATGTAGTTGCTTTTTTTACAGTGCAGATCTCAAGCCAACTGAACATCTGTGGGATGTGCTGGACCAATAAGTTCGATCCACAGCGGCTCCACCTCACAGCCTGGAATTGAAGGATCTGCTGCTAATGTCTTGGTGCCAGATACAGGATGGCTACAGGGGTCTTGTGGAGTCCATGCCTCAGTGGGTCAGCGCTGTTTTGGCAATACATGGAGGACCTCATTCTAGGCAGGTGGTCATAATGTTTTGGCTCATCGGAGTATGGGCATATTCAATTAGGTTCAAAGTGTTATGCAACCACAGCAGCTATTTCATGAAATTAAACTGCCTGGTGGTCGCACATATAATGAATCTTTGCCCATGAAGGCTGTTACTTTATAGCACATAATCAAATTGTATGAATGCAACATGCTGCAATGATCAAACATAAGTAACTTTGTAATCTTAGTAGCAAATCAAGTATGTGTGTTTTAATGACAAGTGTAAGAAATATTAGTAGTATAAGTTGTAATGAATTAGTGATGATCAAAGCCCAGAAAATAAATCTCACAACCTGAAATGTCCCTGCATTATTGCAATTAAGAAATGTTTCAGTGATTGTTAGATATTTATAATTATTTATGACAATGGTTGACACCATTATATGAGAACTGAACTGAGCTGGACGATGACATCACTGTTTTCTCCAGAGCTGCTGTATAGATAAATGAACTTAATTATTAATTAACTAATGATTTTTACAATGGAAATGAATCAACACTGAACTTACTTAAACTAGACAATTACTTTCTTTTAGAGCTGCTTTACAGCCTTTGCTGCATTATTTTCCTGTTATCTCTGTGAAGCTGCTTTGAAACAATCTGTATTGTCAAAAGCGCTCTATAAATAAAGGTGCTGACTTGACTTTATAAATATTATATTTAAAATATTAAAATAGTTCACCCATGAAGTTCTTTCATCAATCACTCACCTTTGCGTTATTTCAAAGTGCTCTTGATATTTCGGATGGGGGTGTTGAATAGAGACAGACCATTTTTGTGTAGATATTTCCTTTTTAAAGTGGGACATCTATTGAAACCTTAAAACGATATAGTTCACCCAAAAATGAAAAATGTTGTCATCATTTAAAGGAGAGGATCATTTAAAAAATGCCTGTGGTGTTTGTCCATAAAGTGGTGACCAATGTCCAATATACTCACTCTTATGATGTTCCAAACCAACTGATTTTGCCCTTACAATGAAAGTCAATGGGGCCTAGTGTTGTTTTGGACGCCACTGACTTTCTTTTGTCTTTCACAGAAGACCAATGAAATTCAGTGAGGTTCAAAACAACATTAGACACCATCATATGGACAAAAAAAATAAATAAAAAAAATAAGGATGTTTTTTTTATGTTTCGTAGGACAAAAAAGAAAGTCATACCGGTTTAGAATTACATGAGGCTAATTAAAGGATGACAAAATGTTCATTTTTGGGGGTGAATTAGCTCTAAATCTGAATTTTTTTTTTTTTAAAAACCCTTAAAAAATAAAGGAAGATAGAACAAAGATTTATCAACCTGCCAAGTGCTAGTAAACCAAAAAATACATTTTACACCAAATGTATAATCCTTGTAATTGTAAATATGCTGCTATTTGTAGGGTATCTCTCAGGACAAATGATGGTGTGCACTTTTCTGTAATGACATATTTCTGTGTTCAGTGCTCACTAAACAACAGTGTGTTAAGTTATGGTGTACTTTACAGTTCTTTATTGTCATCTATATTAAATAAATGTTCATACATCATGTATGTGTAAAAAAATAAAGATAATGTGTTTAAATGAATTCTGTTATTTACAGTACATATAGCCTATTCCACTAGAGTATGAGACATTGGTTGTGTTGATTATGCAAAAGGTCATGAGTGACCTACCTATGCAGAGGAGAGAGACAGGAAGTGGTTTTATAGCCCAATTGCATCTGTACAACAACAAGGTAGAAAACTAGACGGAGAAAACACAAGAACATATTGCATGAGTGCTTTTAGACAGCACTTCCTCCTAAAATGTGCTAAATTAAGTGAAATCATTTTATCTTTTATTTAAAAAATTACAATTTTAATTTATAAAGGTTGATATGAACAATGTACAGTTAAATTTTAAACAAATTGCAGTGTAAAAGAGTATCAATCTCTGGCTACTTTAAAAACAATACAGAATTCTTAGGTACAATCGTACCTCTATAGTAGTTCTTAGGCGAGGTACTTTACAGGAAGTTGTTTTTAAAGATAAGATTTACTGAAACCCTAGCCCACACCTTACGGGCTATATGACTACATGCAGGGTTGTCTTTGTGGTTACTTTCTCTCTGCTGAAAAAAAGCATTAGACGACATCACACGTCCAGCATAGCGCAAGGCACCATGAGGATCGGACAGACGAACCCATCTCTATTATCTGAACAACACCAGACCCACCTGTTGATACTCTTCATAACTCTTATAACAGGTATGAGATGTGACTGACACACACACACACACACACACACACACAGACAGAGAGAGGCTTTACTATGCAAAAGCTTGGGGTCAGTGAGATTTTTGTGAGACGTTTTTGAAAGAAGTCTTGTATCTGAACCAAGGCTGCATTTATTTGATCACAAATACAGTAAAAACAGTAATGTTGTAAAATAACTGTTTTGTGTTTTGATATAGGCCTATTTAAAAATATATTCCTATAAATGTATTCCTATAATGGCATGAGCTACACTTTCAGCAGTCTTCAGTGTCACATGATGCTTCAGAAATCTTTTTTTAAAATGCTGATTTGGTGCTCAAGAAACATTTCTTAATATCAATGTTGAAAACAGTTGCTGCTTAATATTTTTTTTGTGGAAATCATGATACATTATTAATATAAAGTTCAAAAGTTTACTTTTTTCTTTAAAAAACGTATTGATGTATTCCTCTTTAAACCTTTGAACAGTAGTGTATTAATCTTGTGATGTATATAATGAAACATATTTTAATGAAGTAAGAACTCAACTGAACTGTTAAAAGAAGGAAACCGAGGCAGTTATACAGGAAGAGAAAGCAAATACGGGTTTACAAACACCTGACAGAGCTCTTTTCTTCTTCTTTTTTACACCTATTTTATAAACTGTTAAAAAAAATGATTTACTGATCAAACTGAGAAAAAGCTGTATGCTGTTCAGTTCAGGTCTGAAAATTGCAGTTTGTGCCATTTATTTCTCTCTTGCTCTTCTTTTTCTTCTTTCTCTCTTTGTTTTTCATAGGGGCCTTTACAGATGAAGTTGTGATTCGAGCTCCTTTGGGTGGGAGTGCGACTTTTAAATTCAAGGTTACAAGAGACATGACAGTAAGCCTCGCTGAATGGAGCAGGTGTCCGGATCACAAGGTTTTTGTGTTCAGCCCCAGCCATGGACTCAGTATAGTTAACAACAACTATGCTGGTCGTCTATTTGCAAAATCAAACCACAGCGTTATACTGGAAAAATTACAAGAGAGCGACTTTGTGACTTACTGCTATAAACTCAGCACTTTCCCGCAAGGGAGTCTTCAAGGACAAATTAATCTAGTGAAAAGGACAGAAAATGGTAAGAATAATGATCTTCCTCAACATAACACCAGGCATGCAGTTTGCCAGTTAGCAAAAAATAAACCCATTTTTGTTCCTACAAATGACATTTTATAATTACACATTCAAATTATAATTATAACCATTATGGCCATTTACCATATTCACACATATCTGACTATTATTTAACATTCAGAATCAAGATGAAGCACACAACACAGAACAAGCATGACACAATCATCAAAAAAGTGCTGTGCTTTGTTCCACTGTTGTTCCACTACTGGAACTTATTCAATTAAAATTACTAGTATAAAAAAATTAACTAGTAACACTCGTTGTTTCTTTGCTTAAAACAAAGAATATAATGGACGTAACATAAACCTAAATGTAAACCTCTGACAAACTTTTACATGCGGGATACAAAAAGGTGAAGGATACTGTCATGCAGTCCTGAAGTGTCAACTGTCCTCCCTGTGAAGGCCTCCTTCCCTTTACCTCTGTACAGATAATCGTTGTCCGGATAGTTCTGGTTTACGTGGCTACGCCGAAGCGATACAATTCTGTATTATAAATTTTAAGGCCAGACAAGTAGTTTGTTGAGGATTATTTTTTTTTAGGGAAGGACTACATGCCTGCGCAGTGCGCACATATATTCAAACGCGCATACCTATAGAATAAACTCTTAATGCGCATGTGCACGCTATCAGCGTTCTCACAGGTTTGCGTTTTTAAAGTTTGCGTAGAGAGAACTTAAAGGGTTAGTTCACCCAAAAATTAAAATGATGTCATTAATGACTCACCCTCATGTCGTTCCAAGCCCGTAAGACCTCCGCTCATCTTCGGAACACAGTTTAAGATATTTTAGATTTAGTCTGAGCGCTTTTTGTCCCTCCATTGAAAATGTATGTATGATATACTGTCCTTGTCCAGAAAGGAAATAAAGACATCATCAAAGTAGTCCATGTGACATCAGTGGGTTAGTTAGAATGTTTTAAAGCATCGAAAATAAATTTTGGTCCAAAAATAACAAAAACTACGACTTTATTCAGCATTGTATTCTCTTCCGGTTCTGTTGTCAAGCCGCGTTCACGAGTCCGCAGTGACGCTGATGACGTAAGACGCTGCTGACATGTATCTGGTGCGTCCGTGTATTCGGGTTCAAATAAATATGGCTGGAGTCTTCCTCTGTGTCGAAATCCTTAGACATATTTGCGAAGATTGTTTTGTTTACAGCGTGCGTCTCCCAGATTACACGTCAGCAGCGTCTTACATCATCAGCGCCACTGAACGTGGCTTGACAACAGAACCGGAAGAGAATACAATGCTGAATAAAGTCGTAGTTTTTGTTATTTTTGGACCAAAATGTATTTTCGATGCTTTAAAACATTCTAACTAACCTCACTCTCACTGATGTCACATGGACTACTTTGATGATGTCTTTATTTCCTTTCTGGACAAGGACATATACCGTACATACATTTTCAATGGAGGGACAGAAAGCTCTCGGACTAAATCTAAAATATCTTAAACTGTGTTCCGAAGATGAGCGGAGGTCTTACGGGCTTGGGACGACATGAGGGTGAGTCATTAATGACATAATTTTCATTTTTGGGTGAACTAACCCTTTAAGAGTTTTCTGTTAAAAGTGAATAACTAATGATCGTTGCGACGGAAGTGAATCAATCAAAAATAACTTTAACTGGAAAATAACTTTATTCTAGAGCTGCCATAAAGCCAAAACAATCTGTTACTTTAATTTCCTATTATCACTGTGGATTGTTAAAAGCGCAATATAGCCTAAATGAAGACTTGACTTGACTTGTCACAAACGCGACTGACTGTATTAGGCCTACACTGTAAAAAATTCACCCGTATATTTACAGTAAAGAACTGGCAGCTGTGGTTCCAGCCCTTTACCGTAATTTTACAGTTTCAACAATGCTGTAATTTTACAGTAAAGTACTGGCAGCTGTGGTTCCAGCCCTTTACCGTAATTTTACGGTTTCAACAATGCTGTAATTTTACAGTAAAGTACTGGCAGCTGTGGTTCCAGCCCTTTACCGTAATTTTACGGTTTCAACAATGCTGTAATTTTACAGTAAAGTACTGGCAGCTGTGGTTCCAGCCCTTTACCGTAATTTTACAGTTTTTAATTTTAAGGCTGTGCTGTAATTTCACAAAGTACTGGCAGCATAAAGTTAGAATATAAATACTGTTTTTTATTTACTCTATTGTCTGATATCTATTAACATCCCTATATGTAGCATAATGTATACAGACATTCCAAACAGACTTTTTACTCAATGGAAAAAATAAAGACAAAACAGATTATGTATTAGTACATTGTTTGCCATTTATTTAAAATAAGTAACAGGTTTTAACAATACATTAACAGTATTTAAGGAAAAAAAGTAACAGAAAATACATTTTAAAATTCAATGAGAGGAACCAGTAGGCAAACACAGAAACATTACAAAGAGGCAAAAAAAACCCAAAAAACCCGAACAAACAAAACACTAAAACCAGCCAAAATGTCACATCAGCAACCAGGCCAGAGATTAAGTCTGGGTCTGAGAGGAAAACATTGAGAACCAATGGATGAAAAATCCTTGATAGAGGGGGGAGGGGGGGGAAAACACTGCCAAAATATCCCAAACCTGCTTTTGAATGATCTGGCCTGAGAGGAAGTCCAGATCTGAGAGGACATAATCACGAGAACCAATGGGTGAAGAAATGTAGGAAGAGGCAAAAAACAGCCAATACGTCCCACATCAGCTTTTGACAGATCTGGTCTGAGAGGAAGTCCAGGTCTGAGAGTAAAGAAAATCAAGAAAATCTTAGTGCTAAAATAAAGCACATTGCAAAAAGTGATCACATACTCTGCAAAAAGTGATCACATACTCTGCAAACACTTTTTAAAGAAACATAAAATGATCATGTTAATGTACTTAACTAATCTTAATTCTTTTGTCACTTAAAAAACAACACCACAATCGTAACATTAATTCACAAGACCACCGTGGATGAATCAATGTCTTCTAAATCTGAAGCCAAACGATAGATGTGTGTAATAAAAATATTAATCGTTTTAACTCATTTTATTTTTGTGTTAGAAAAACAAAAATAAAATAAATACTAAATGAACTATAAATCATTACTTACGATCTACTGCCATAAGAGTGTTCACCAGGGACATGGTGACGTGACAGAGAATTGTGAAGCTCATGTGTCGGTCATCCTTGCTTCTGTGTTACTTCTGGAATATCAAATGCAAAAATGGTAACGTTACTGCATGATTGTGCACAAAGTTTGCAAGTAAGTTATAGGCCTACATGGCGTGAAACTCACCAAAGATTAGGGCAAACTGTCTCAGTAAAACATTTACATCAAGTGAAGGATTCCTAGGAAAAAAGAAGAAAATAATTATTTCGAAATCTTTAACCAAGCAAAGAAAATCGACGTCAGAGTGCGGAGAACATTGAATAGTGAAATGCCTCAGCTGTTGATAACTGTCTGTCTGCAAAAACGTGTTTCGCGCCGCAAAGAATATCCGTCTCTGCCTCGTCTTTCAAACACAACCTCTTTGACTTAATACTATAACGTTAGGCCTAACTTACATGTGAATCTCACAAAAACGCAGGTACTTGCATCACTAAATCAAAAAAAAAAAAAAAACATATCTAATTTGCTTTGGGAATTTTAATATTATTTGCATGGAAAATAAACAAATTGACCACTACATTTTAATTACAACATTGGATCTGGATATTTCGAGTTGTTTTGTAATTATTCTCAATCTTATGTGCATGATATTAACGTTATGCGAATTGATGCATCTGGTAAGATTCGCACCGTGTAACGTTACTGAATCACAAATTCATATAAATCGAGTTAAGGGTTAGGCTACTACAAAAGAAAGCCCAACCAATTTCTAAATGGTAACAACTTTAGCCAAGCAAAGAATTCGCAGTAATAATCGCATAGATTTACGTTAGTAATCGGAGCTCAGAGAGCATTCATTAGCAGCTAGGCGAAATGTCTCAACCGTCGAGCTCTGTCTTCAAAACGCGATTCGCGCTCAGTAAGCAGTTAAAAAAAATACCTCATGAAAAAGGCGATTTTACAGGTACTCTGGAGCAACATAATAGAATAACAGCAAAGAAATAAACTTACCTTGAACAGTGGCCTTCTTTAAGACAGCAGGAGTGTTGCGAAACCATTTTGTTCTTTGACTGCTTTCTGTTCGAAAAGAGACCGCGTTGAAGATGCCCCGCCCACACGTGCTATTTTTTACAGTCCAAGACTGTTTTTTCCAGGTGTCACATACACCATATACATTTTACTGGGGGTGAACTCAAACACTTTATTTCCGGTTCCGCACTACAGGTCAAGTATGCATGACAACGGTATTGTTTAGATCAACACGTGACATCTCCCCTTTAAAACAAACAAACTCTAAACTTATAATATTTCAACATATCCCACAACAAAGCTTATTTGTAGATATTTCTAAATTGCATATGCTTAGTCGTAATTACACTCTTGCTATACTTACAGTAGTAAAGTATAGTGCATATTATTCATCTAGCCTTTTCAATAAACATAATGAACCACAATTTCTCTTAGCACAATCTTAACCTCAGATCTTGCGTGAAGACATAATGTCTTTTAAGTCAACAGTTGTGTATAAATGTAACTTAAATATTAATCTAGTGCTAAGACTTGAACATATAGCTACTAGCACATGTACACTAGTTAAGCTTTACTTGTGCATAACATAGTCATCAAATCTCTTTGGCAAACATCTTGCCCTGGCTGGACGTTCACAGACTGTCATTGGCTGTGAGGGTGCCTTAGGGGACCCACTATTGGTAGGGGACACTCGTGTCTCCATCTGCTCTGTAGGTGTGCAGTCTGGGACAGCAATGTCCGGTGTCACATGAAGTGCAGATTTGTCAGGATCAGCAGACAGGTGAATTCTGTTGCGTCGGTAGGTGGTTCCATTTTCTGTCATGACAG